AACCCTCCACAGTTTACACACCCTATTTTCCAACTTTATCTTTCACTCCTTTCAGCATTAACCCAGCACTCCAGCTGCACAGAGGTCGGGGGCTTTGTCTCAAGCGCGCCTCTATGCTTTGAATCCTGTTTCTTCAGCCTGGAATTCTTCTCTCCTACCTTCTCCAGCAATCTGAGTTTTTCTTACCCTTGAAGGCTCTTCTTGAAACTTTCCCCAAGTTCTCAGTAGGAATTAATTGTCCCTAAATTTTTCTTATCCCTCGAGAAACATTATTATTTTGTTGTATTGTGTTATTAGTTAGTAGTTCACATGTCAGTCTCTCCTAGACTGAAAGTTCCATAAGAGGGGGGTCATAATATAGTACAAACCACATGGAATTTGGTAGTGAACGGACCGTTAAAGGCCTAAGCATGCCGCTTAGTAGTTATTGATCTTGAACAAGTCACTCAACATTTTAAAATATCGATCTCCTTATACGTAAGTTAAGCGTAATGCCAACAGCCTCACAGAGTTGTTATGGGGATCAAATATCCCTATATGGATAAAAATGTCTCACACATAGTAGGTGCTTGATAAATGTCCATCTCTGTAGCTCTACAACATCTGGCACAGGATTTTGTAGGTAGAAAACACCTCATCAGTGTTTGCTAATGGAATGAGGAAGCGTGCCCTGTGTGAGATTTTAAGAACTCTTAAAGCACTCACAGGTCTGCAAGAGGACAAGGAGACTGCCCAACAGCTTGTATCATCATATTTTCTTACAATAACCCACGGTTGGTTGTGAGAAATCAATGACTTATTCTCTCTCGCAAGGGCACATCTGCTTGGTATCGTGGGTATTTTTATCCTGGTTTTGATTTATTTTAATAAATTTAATATTTTAATTTAACAAATTTGATATTGTCATTGAAGCACAGATCAGCAGTGTCCATTTTGCCTACAATAATGGGGTTCACAACACCCAATTTGAAAAAGAAGTGCATTTCTTTTTAAATTGACATACAAAGCAAAAACCAAGACATGGTTAAGCTTTCACTATGACATAAAAAATGCTGGAACATTAGCAAGGCCACCAGTGAGCTATGTTCCCTGGGGCAAATTGGTGAACCCCTTTGGAATCAGTTTTTCCCTCTGCACATTGGGAATAACAACAGTGACTATTATGGTGTCGTCAGGATCAAATGAGATAACTAGTAGCACAGTGAGCACTTGGTGGTAGGGGTTCAATAAATTAATTTGCTGCCTCCATTCATCATTACCCTTACAAAAATCTGCAGCGTGTACTACTCTATTAGGAAGCATTTCAGTAATTAAAAACTAAAGCCAGTGTTCAAAATAAAGAAACACGACAGTCATTTCTCTGGTCTCCTGGAGTCTGTATCACAAATTTTTTTCCCAATTATAGTTTTTTGCTAATATACAAAGTTGAGAAATTCTCTGTGGGACCACCCAGCCACAGTGTGGATCAGTGAGGCTCCACTTAATTGAAAAACTGGATTTAATAAGGAAACAATAGTTATTGTGCCTTCAAAGAGACCATTTTCCATGCTAATTTATTCTCCAGTGTGTTCTTTGTGTAAAAAGAATGTACAAGCATGCTTTTTTATACCACTGTAGTAATTCTTGGTGGGCACATTTTTCAACATGCTTTATGACCGCCTAAGTTGATGTTTCTTTACACATTGATGCCTGTTTAAACAATTACTGTGTGTGTGTCTGTGAATGAGAAAAATCCTATTTTAACAAACTCCATAGAGAAATAAACCGTTCACATTTTACTGAAATTTGGTTGTAACAAAGACGTTATTAAATACCCATTCCCACACAGAGGGAAACTAATGCCCAGACCAATCACTGGGCTCCTATGCCTCCAGCCTACTTATGGTCACAAGCACTCACAGACTTGTAGGGAATCAGAATGCAATGTGATACATCAGTACACAAAGTGACAAAGCCTAACTTTGACCCTCAGTGTTCATAATATGATATTCTGTGGGCTGATACCTGACTTTCTTTTAGACCTGGGTTCTCCATCCTTTCTCTGCCTGCCCTTTGATTCCTGCCTGATTCCTTATCTTACAGCTTTCTTTGAGATTATCCAATAAGGACACATAGTATAAGTAGTCATTCTAGAACTGATTCAAGATTTGCTTAGAACCCTATACTGCTACCTTCCAAGATATTAGGGATAAAATGCCATAAACTATATGGCATTTTAGTATTGTTTAAACTATATAGTTTAAAATAAACTACATGTAGTAGGTGATCACTTATTTTCAGCTCTTTTTCTCACTCCTACAACCAACCACCCTCTCCTTGCAGAGTCTCCCCTTTTATAGTTGTCCAGACCCTACACTAACTCCATTTTCTATAGTTTTTATATGAGAATGCCCCCTTACAATTATTTCTGCTTTCTATATATTTAAATGATATCCTTGAGTGGTAGTAAAACTCTTAGTTCTTACCATGTGCTTGAAAGTTCTCAGTACATTATATGTATTATCTCACTTACTCTCACAATCATTCTATAAGGAAGTTGTATAATCCCGTTTTACAGATGGGGAAACCGAGGCACAGGTCAGTCAGATAATTGTGTCAAGGACAGGAGAGAAACATAGGCAGTCTAACTCCAGAGCCTATATTTAAACGACGACACATAACATGTCAGTGTTTTCTTGAATGCTCTGAGGACAGCAAATTTTGTGAGGTGGTCTATATAAAAAAGTCCCATGGTTAAATAACCTTTGAAATATCAAACACAGAAATTTACAGAAGTTGTTAGAAAGGTAAGTGGTAGAAAAGTGGTGTTGCAAAGAAACTGAATTAACTTTGCTTACTCCATTGCTTCTTAATCATTGAACCTTGAAACCTATTTTCACGTAGTATCTAATAACATCTCCCAGGACTAATGTCTGGACAAGACTTTGGGAAGGTGCTCAGAGATGGCCTCTCACCTGTGGCACTGAGAGATTTGGAGGTTCATGGCTGTCCCAAAGGACAAATTCAAAAGAATCTTCAAAGATCTCTCCACCAAAGTGACGATAGTAGATGATGCCATTAAACAGATCCCTCTGGAGGAAGCCAGGGACAGGATAGCCTGTTGGGTCCACAAAGCACCAAATATTTTTGTAACCAACTCCAAGTGTTTGGGTATAAAGATATTCAACTTATCTCCAAGTCTTCTCTGCCTCGTATGTTGTGTGTACCCAAGCAATCTTCACCAAAGCTTTTATCAAAGCTTATAAATAACAAAGCAGAGAAAATTAAAGTTTCTACATCTGTCTTAAAATATGTAGAGCCCGGCCGGGCGTGGCTCAGTGATTAAGCATCGACCTAGGATCCAGGCGATCAGCGTTCGATTCCCGGTCAGGGCACATGCCCGGTTTGGGGACTGCGGCCGATCAATGACTCTCTCATCATTGATGTTTCTATCTCTCTCTCTCCCTCTCCTCTCCTCTCTCTGAAGTCAATAAAGATATATTTTAAAATATGTAGAGAAATTAGCATTAGAAAAATATTTTTAAGAAACATGTCAAGAAACATTAACTACTTGATCCATATTTTGTTGTTCCTGACTACTTTAAGTAGTTATAAAAGTATTCTAACAAAATATGAGGAAATGTTATTCATGAAATTACTTTATCAATAATCTACAATAGGCCAAACCTCTCTCTTCAAATTATTTGTTCTATCACTGTGCTTGGCAGACTTAATTTTTCCAAGTGTAATGGTTACCTTTGGGCCAAGCTCTGGAACTTTCTGGATGCCCATCCTTGAATGGATCAACTTAAATTCTCTAAGTCTCAGGCTTCCCATCTATAAAATGGGAATAATAAAAGTACCTCACCTCATAAACTGATGTCCACCTTCCCACAAATTTTGACACAAACAATCTTAACTGCCCAGAACTTACCTATCAATCCTGGCGCTGGCTTCTTCATGACCTCTCCAGCCTGAGGAGCTCTCGTGATATTAAAGAAGATATAGTCATCACTGGAGTCCATGTCTGAAGCTCTCAGCATGGAACCCTGGATCAGGATTGTATGTCCCTCCTCCACTTCAATAACGACATTGTTGATGAGGAACGGGGGACTGTCATCTTTGGGCAGAATATTGATGGGAAACTTATGGCGGATGCTGTGATGACCATCAAATATCCTGAAGAGCACAAAGTCTTTGGTGGAGTCGCTGTCATCGTGATGATAGCGAACAACCCCAGCCTGCAGGTCAGCCACAGTGAAGAGAAATCCTTTCCCCCCTGGAGGAGAGAGCAGAGAGGGCACTGACTGAAGGAGGGGTGCAAGGCGGACTGGACAAGAGGGCATCGAGGAAGGTGGTGCAGCTGATACTCTCCTCTTTTTGGGGAAAAAACACTGATTGTTTAGTGGGCTCTGGGCCTCCACAAATCTGGTTTTGAATGTCGGCTGTAACACTTATTAGCTGTGTAGATTGGGCACGGTATTTAATTTATTTGAGACTCGTCTATAAAACAAAAATTATACCTACCTCATATTTCCTAGTATGGATGAGAGGACTGAAACAATAGTGAGCCTACAATAAATTATAATTATTCTTTAACTCATTGTTATCACATCCTACATGGCAGAACTTCTTAGAGGTGTGATCTTGAACCAGCAGCAGCAGCACCATCTGGGAAGTTACCACAAATACAAGTTCTCTAGCCCTACCCTAGACCTACTGAATCAGAAATTCTGGAGGTGGGAACCAGCAATATGTGTTTTAGCGAGCCCTCCAAGAGAGTCTAATGCATGCTAAAATTTGAGAATTACTGACTTACTGACCGAGAGCTAAAGCTCTGGTATCAAATGACCTAGGCTCAAATCCCAGTTCTGCCACTTTCTAGGTGCATGACCTTAGACAAGTTAATTTCTCTAAGTCTCAGGTTCTCCATATGTAAAGTGGAAATAATAATAGTACCTTACTTCATAAAGTTGTATAAGATAGAGCATGTAGAATACTTTGCACCATATTTGGTGCAAAGCAAATACTTAATAAATATTAGTACTATTTCCTACCTCCTCTGAGCTCAGAACATCACTGTCTGACGGGCTACTGCTCTCTCTATACTTCATTTCACAGTATTAATCAACACTGTTTCGCTCTGCATAAACTATTGTGATCCTTGATGGCAGCTGCCTCATTACTCTCCCCACATTATACGTTTATGTAAAGACCTCACTGAAATCATGATTAAACACTAGTATAATGGATACTACAAGCTGCTTGCCCAGTAGCCACTTTCTGCTTCTTGCTCGGCACCAGAATCCTAGTTCTATTTGGAATGGCATCTGACCATTTAAAAAAATCACGTTCCCAGGCTCCACTGAATGCGGGTGAGTTGGCAGGGGATAGAAATGCGAGGCATTGGATCAGGCTCCTGGGACAGGTGGGTAAAGACAGCAAACTTAGATGGCATGACTTTATCTTTCCTTCCTTCCTCAAATGCAGACCGAAGCCTAGCGGTGTAGGTGCCATATTGTGACCACCGACAAAGCAGAAGAGAGCTTTTGCCGTCAGGGATATGGAATATCTGCACCTGGACAACTTGTCACACGAGGAAAAATGACTTTGAATTTTTAAGCCACTGTAATTGAGTTTCCCTGACATGCAGCTGAACATCCGCCCTAAATGACAGGCCCACGTGTTAAGCTGGGATTAGACAAGAGAATTTATCATTTTATTTTTGATTTCAGAATTCCCTTATCACGAATGATAATAAGAGCTCTCTTTCCACTTTATAATTAGGCAAACTAAGAGGATAATTGAATTAAAGCCTCTGAGCCAATTACAAGGAATGGGCTATATCATCATAAAGTATGGCTATTATTTTTATTAGGCTCATTAACCTTGACTACTATCCTTATAATTATAATTATACATTCATTTCTTTTAAACTATGGTAACTGCTTCTAATATCATAATAATATAATGATTACTGAAGTATTTTTAAAAGCGTGGTTTTCTGTTTTTCAATATGTTTCTCTGAAACAGAGAAATGAGAGAAATATTTTGTCTTCCAACTGGGATAAGATAATCAATTAAGGAGTATATTTAGAAGGAGCCCAATAAGGCATCTGAGCTTTAAATAATGAGCCAAGCATAAGGCACCCTAACACAAATGTTTTAAGATCTCCAGATTTTTGGGATATGGCAATTCATTTAGAAATGGGGCCCAAGAAATGCTGTATAGATCCTCTTAAATATGATTTGCTTTTGGAGAAGGTTCTTCTTGGGTTCTTCTCTAGGTCACACGGGTCGATGCTTCACCTCTCACTGTGAGCCGTCCATGCTGCAGGCCATCCACGGTGACTAGCTGTACCGCCCGAATGTCATCATTGTCAACAATCTGAAACTGTTCCCAGGTGATGGCCCGAGACTGCCCTTCCAGGAGATTCAGACCTGCAGGACAAAACAAAAATGGTCTATGACACTCCAACAGGCGTACTTTAAGACAAAATTAATGAGTTTTAACTCACAAAACTAACCCAAAGTTATCCTTTCAAAAGCTTTTCAAGAAACCAGAATTTAACTTTTATTTCTAATATTTTCACTTTTAGTGCTATTAACTCCAATCTGTCCATTGGTTCCTTGTGATACAGCTTTAGAGACATGATAGTGTCAGAAAATAAATACCAAAGGAAAGAATAGATGTTATGCTCACCATGGTCTTTAGTTCAAAAACGTCCACAAGGAGTTTTGCAAAGGCTACATCCAGATATTTTGTGGGCAAAAGAGTCAGAAGTACTTTTACATATACAGTTGACCCTTGAGCAACAGGTCTGAACTGCACAGGTCCACTTTTTCAATAAATACTGTCAATATATTTTATCCTTATGATCTTCTTACTAACACTTTCTTTTCTCTACCTTGCCTTACAGTATACAATATATGTAACACACAAAATATGTGTTAAGCAACTTTATGGTATCAGTAGGGCTTCTAGTCAGCAGGGGGCTACTAATAGATAAGTTTCTGGGAAGTTATAAGTTATACCCCGATTTCGACTTCACGGAGGGTGAGCACGTCTAACTCCCAGGTTATTCAAGGGTCAACTGTAACTGGAGTTCATAAGCAGCCCACAGCACAGAGAATGTAAAGTGGTTAAATACGCAAATCCAGAGCTGCTGTGCAAGGAGTGTTTAATAGCGTCAGATGTAAAGTGTCTGACACTTTACAATGAGGACTGTATTTTAGTTTAGACCCTAATAAGGAAGAGACTTTTGTAACTAAAGGAATTAAAATAAAACCTTCTCCTTGGACCCAGCAGGCTGGAGGAAGTTTGGAGAGAGGAAGTGAGTACTGCTCAGAGCAAGAATTTAGATTCCAGACTAAACTCTGGGTAGAGACAGGGAGCATCCTTAACTATTGCCATTGCCCAGTGGAGCTGCGAGCCAACAGATTACAGAGAATCTTGAAAAGGAACAGAACTTTAAAAATTTAAAGATAGTATACTGGCGGGCCCAGTTAATGCTTTCCCTCCGATCTGCCAGTTTACCCTGCCTCCCTGACCTTGGCCTGCTCTCTAGGGAGAGTTCCCACAATCCTCCCACTTGTGGAGGCCTGGATGCTACTGTCTCGTCTTCTGATCTGACTGGTTACCTCACTGTCTTCTGGAGTGAGAGTCAGGTTTTGACATGACCTCCCTAGTGACAGTGATCAGGTCCTATACCTCGGGACTCCAAGAGTTTGCGCAGCAGCTGCTAAGAGGGGCCAGGTAACAGGTAACACAACCTGGACATGTGGGAGTTAATATCCAGTAAGGCAACCTGACCAAGATGAGACAGGAGATGGGAGGGAGGTGACAGACAGGTTGTTAAGCTTGTCCCCACCCCACCCCTGACTCTTCCCACAAGCAGTGATCCATCTCCTTCTGGAGACATCGGCACTACCAGGCCATTATCAGCTTTATTTTCTGGTAAACCTGTGACCAGCTTATTTACACCACCCTGACTTCCCTTTTCCGCTTTCTCTTGTTTTTGGTGTAGGGTTAATGCATGCAACCAACCTCAGTAGCTATTACTAGGGAACCTGGGCTAAGACGCAGCATATTTAAGGAAAGAAGGGAGGGATG